ATATATATATATATATATATATATATATATATATATATATATATATATATATATAATATATATAAATAGATAGATAGATATAAATATATATATATATTTATAATATAATTACAATTAAAAACTTTCGCATTCATTCGAAATTACATACATGCAGCATATTTACATTTATGTAAACGGTATTGTTTTTGGAATTCCACACCACTTTGTATATTTGTTTTAATATTCAATTTTCCGCACAACTTACTTTGAGCCATGCAGTGCTTCGAAAACATTTGTTCACAGAACAATTACAACTCACCCCCCCCAACGTATTCGGGTAAGGTTGAACTAAACTCTCGCATAGAGCAAGCATTGCTCAATTTGCTCTTACACCTACAGAATGCAAATCTTGTCCAGTAGCTACTAATCGAATCGTCGGCTGTTAATAGAACATCTGCGGACACCCAATCAGATCTTCCGTTGGATAAAATCAGTGGAAAGTGAGGTCCCAGGTACGCACGTGCGCATCCTGTCCCGCTGAGACAATCTTGTTGTCTGACAACCAATCAACACCAGTCACAGCACCTTGGTGGGCATCTGAGGATAGAACAGATAGAGAATATCCGTTTAGCGAATAAGATCGATATGGTATTAAGCAGAAAAGAATAAATATCGGTTCAACGAATAAGATTGATATGGTGATTAGAATGTGACAAGCCAGGTACTCAGTGGACGACCTCGGACTACCATATTTAGATGCACGGCAGGAGCGATTCAGTATCGATGAAGATCGATATGTACACAGATGAAAAGATCACAATCCATACGCACACAGCTACAACACAATACAGCAACTATCGTAATCCAGGCAAGCTGTAACAACCACTGCACACGCACAATGTGACAATCGCTGTAAAGATCAGTATTCAATCGATAACATGCCAACCGATCCCCTTCAACAAAATCCGCGCCTGCTAAACGCACACAAGCAAAGGTATATACACACCACCGCACAAGCAAAGTCATGTACACCACCGAACAACTGACCCCACACTACAGCCAACACTACACACGTCCACCACAGCTCTCGATGAAGAAGCACAAGCAAAGATGCACATACTTTTGAACGTCAGTCGCTTGCGCGACTGCTCCAGGCTCCACACAATAATGTTCTGGTCTATTCCTCCGGTGACCAAATGCTTGCCGTCCTTAGCCCAGGCCATGCAGTTCACCTTGGCCGAGTGAAACACCCACCCGCTTTGTACCGTTTCTAAATCGGGACAGGAGTGCAAAAACACGTTTCGACCCGAATCTCCGGTGGCCAGTTTGGTACCACAGGGCGAGAAGGCACACGCCGAAAGCGCACCTTTACAGTCTTTCGTAGCTACTAAGGACAGCTTGCCTGTGAGAGAGAGAGAGAGAGAGAGATGTGCAGCGGTTGTAGATCAAAGTCTGAGAGATGGAAAGGAGGGTCAAGTATCTTTGGACATGTAGTGTGTGCTACCTCTGTCTCGGGAAATGTGTCTAAGAGTGAGCGTTGGTTGTTCACAGGAGCTGAAGTAAGTGAAGTCACTACTCATAGGGGGCGAGTGACCTATATTTATAGTATCACAGTCACCATACCTGAGCTGAAGTAAGTGAAGTCACTACTCATAGGGGGCGAGTGACCTATATCTATAATATCACAGTCACCATACCTGAGCTTAAGTAAGTGAACTCACTACTCATAGGGGGCGAGTGACCTATATCTGTAGTGTCACAGTCACCATACCTGAGCTTAAGTAAGTGAACTCACTACTCATAGGGGGCGAGTGACCTATATCTGTAGTATCAAGTCACCATACCTGAGTTTAAGTAAGTGAACTTACTACTCATAGGGGGCGAGTGACCTATATCTGTAGTATCACAGTCACCATACCTGAGCTAAAGTAAGTGAACTCGCTACTCATAGGGGGCGAGTGACCTGTATCTGTAGTATCACAGTCACCATACCTGAGCTGAAGTCGAAGAGACGCACCTTGCTGTCTTTCGCACCCACTGCAATATATCGTGCATCAGGTGAGACGGCCACCACAGTACAATCAAATTCCGTGTCTTCAGTGAGGATCTGTGGAGATAGGTGTGTGTGTATGGATGTGTGATTGTAAGCGTTCCATGAAATTGTATCCGTTTTGTAACCGATCAAGAGGTGATCAAACGCAGAAGGGCCGTAGTGCAGGACTCTACTGCATGAGCACGAACGTACGTATATCCCCATATGACACACACAACCTGAACCTTCGGTGAGCGTCCACACGCGTATGCAACCACCACTAGATACCACACACACCCACAGTACACCTACCACCACTAGCTACCACACACACCCACAGTACACCTACCACCACTAGCTACCACACACACCCACAGGACACCTACTACCACTAGATACCACACACACCCACAGTACACCTACCACCACTAGATACCACACACACCCACAGTACACCTACGGCCACTAGATACCACACACACCCCACGG